TGTTAGTTTTATGCTCTTCGTGACATTATAGTCTGATAAATGGAGGAATAATCCATCTGAATATTTCTTAAAGTAAGCTAAGGTTGCCATGATCGTAAGTCATGGTATCTTTTTCAAGATCTAGGTTAGTGAGACTCGACTGCATTTTGAAGAAGTACCTTGTAAATGTTCTATTCTAGGCCTAAGAGAGTACCCAGAGTCTTTGCTCTGAAAAAAAAAAAACATAAAAAATAAAAAATACTGCAGCAGGAAGCGTCTGCACTCTTGCTAGTTAGTACTGCAGTGGAACCCGGCCGAGGAGCGGCGTCCAGGTTCAGCTGAAACCAATTATTATATTGGGAGGAATAAACTGATCTTATAAAACGGAGATTGTTGAAATTGTTCTCCTGCTGAGCAGACAAAACATGGAGGCCAGATTTGGCTGCGATGGGAGAAAGATAGTGCAGGGTGGAGCGGGAGCAGAGAGAGCCAAGGGTTTGGAAGGAGTCCCAAGTGGGGAAATGGAGGAAGGCAGCATTGTAATGTGGGCGATGGGAGATTTACAAGGAACTCGGGCTTTGGTGCTTCGTGTTTTATGTTAAGTTTATGTCTGGGGCTCCGAGGCTGTAGCCTTTTGAGAAGACACTGTGCGAGCTCATACATCTTCCCCCCAGCCGAGGAGGGTGCTGCCTCGCCTCACACTGACAGGGCAGATGCACAGATCCCCACATCTCCAGAAAGATGCAGGCTTACGTTCTTTCCTTCGCTCTAAATCACGGGCAGTTAAGTCTTCCCTTCCCTGAGACGTGGTCAAAGTTGCTACAGCTGGTGGTTGTACCACGATGCTCCGAGAAAGGATGGATCGTCTCAGATGCTCATCCATCGAAGCCGTTGTTCCAGACAAATATAGTCAGTGCTCGCAGATTCGTGTGTATTTGCCTTTTAGACGTACTGACTTTCCTTTCATCCTGTACCTTTTTAAACACTGATTTCTGCAAATTGGGAGTTACATAATCGCTCTAATTTGGTTGCAGCTCTAATTTGGTTGGTCATTTACTTGGCAAGGGCCTGGCTTTAAAAATGTGTTTTTAGAAAACTTCTAATGCTTTGTGAATCGCTGTATTTGTAGACTGCTCTCTTGGATACTTGTCCCTCCATACTCCCCAGACTGGACACTTTACAAGTAATAAAGGGTAATTTTAGAATATCACGCTGATGTATGGTAGTACAACTAATTATTAAACATGTTATTTTCCTTCTTGAATAAGTTCCGTAAGGATTTCATTTTTTAGGGATTAATCCAATACACTAAATTGGTCCAAGTTTTCTTTTGTTGGATTAAGTCTGAAACTTATGGCAATAGTGCTGTCCTCATCCGACCCTTCCTTGGCTGTGGTATAGAACAAAGCCAGCTCATGTGATCAGGGTTTGGCAATGGAGCTCGTGTGCATAGTGTTTGTATTAATGCTGAGGAGCGGTTGGCACCCTTGGTCCACATCCATTCACCAGCTTCCTTCTGAGCCTCTGGTTAAGCAGCTGAATCCATATCACGACTGGCAGTGGCACACTTGCTTCTACCAAGGTCAATGAACTAGTAGTCGTACAATGAAGTGGGCTTAGAGTAGTGGGGGAAAAAACTGTGGGGCCCTTCCCTGATCCCCTGTATCTTGGACAGTTGTCACTGTCTGGCTTAATGACGATCAAGAAGCAAATCTTCAGTCTTAAATTATTTGAAGCAGCGTGGCCAGCTCTGTGGTCATAAGAGGGCATCACCCGTCCTTCGTCTCCCTTACCTGGATGTGGTATCTGGGGGCAGAAGGTGGAGTGTCAATCAAAGCTCCAGTGGGGTGGGGAGCAGGATGAGCAGAATAATTAGTTATTGTTAATTCATTCACTGGAGTATTACTGGATGCCTGTATGGTACCAGACACTGCTCTGAAGGCACAGTACAAGACAGTTCTTGCCCATATAGAGCCAATATCACAGGAGGGGGACATCAAGATTAAGTAGGGATGTATTCCATAGGAGACATTGTTCGTTTATATTTAAATCACATGATGTAATTGTGCTTTGTGGATACATAAATAACTGCATGGTGTAGCATGCTGTTTATATCATGTGATATACACACATATATATAGCATTCTATACATTATATATGTATATACATACATACATGTACACATTATAAATCCCAGAGTTGGGTGTTAGGAAATCATGGGGAACAGGGCTCTTTAGATGGATATTGTCTTCTATCCTTCCATGCTATCTCTCAGTTATCGCTTGTCTTCTGCTATTGTCTTGTCACCATGTAACCAGAGCTCTCATGTTGTATGTAATGTGACGGTGAATTTCCTTATTTCCCTTACATCACCATTTTATAACCCATTTTGCTCTATCCAGTGACTTTAACATTCCCGATGATTTCGCTCTTTAGTTTTTTCATTGTTATTTTTTATTGTGGGATTTTAATCTACAGGAATGGTATTTTGTCATGGTGCTCACTCGCTAGCTCAGGGAATGGCTTCCTCGTCATTAGCCGAATGTGTGTGCATGGGGAATGAGCAGAAACACTGGGAGCCATCAGAGTGCTCTGGACCCCTAGAGAGAAACCTCTCTTGCTCCCTGACCACATCACTCTGCCTCTGACCTCACACCCAGCGTGTGTCCAGGCTTAGTGAGAATTTGTGCTGTAATCCAGTGGTGTTGGGAACATCACATGTCTTTGAACCTCACGTGCCCTCCAGCTGACTCACACCATAGAATGGCCACATTGGTGTCACAAGGATCCAAAGGAGCCAGCAAAATAATAAAAACACTGCTGATTTACAGAACTTAGGGATCCTTCCTTCCTTGTTCTCCTCCATTGGTCAGTCATGCTAACGGCCTCCTGACCATGTGCGATAAACCCTTCATAAAATCCCATAGTTCAGAAAGCATTTCCATTCATCCATTCAACAAACAGTGTGTTTGTTGTTTGTTTATCTATTTGAGTTGCTAGGAATGAAACTTAGGGCCACACACATGCTAGGTAAGCATTCTGCTACAGAGTTACATTCCTAGTCCTCAAGAAACATTCATGAATGCCTACTATGTGCAAATGACAGTCCTAAGTACTGGAGCAGCTTCAGTGCCCACCCCCCAAAACAGACCTCCATATTTTTCTGAGACAATAAACTAAGAGTGTAAATGATATACGACATTAGGATGTGAGAAATCCTGTGAATAAACGAAGAAGTAGAGTTGAATTCAGGGAACCATGAGATCTAGAGCAAGAAAGGAGACATGGAGGAGGGTGGCAGAATTGACTATTCTGCTTCTGTGTGTTCATAAAAAAAAAAGTTACTTTGTGTTTGAGCAAAAGATCCACATTAAATGCCTCTTAGTTTTAAACTGATCTTTGACTCCTAAGTGACAAGCACCATCAATAAATGGCCGAAGGTTCAAAGTGACAAGCAGAAGGCCTTTGCCCTATCCCCGGCATGAATTCCGTTCCCTACGGAGGAATAAAAACCAAATCGATACAACATAAATGTGAGTCCTTGTGTAACGTGAGCTTTGACTGAGTGATCTCAGTGCAGGCTCGATGGTGACAGCAGATCCACCTCTCTGGTGGATTGGGAGTGGGAAAGGCTGGGGCAGTAAGAGGTGACCAAGGGATCTACAGAAATGATAAAACCTCACTGGGAATCTCCAACTACTCCTGGAGGCAGATTCTGCTTTAAAAGTCAGGTGTGCATCTGGCATTACTTTTTTTTTTCCTATTGGAAAGAGAAGATCAAAGGCTTTTGTTTTAACTCTATGTCCAACTGCTGTGCTCCCAACCCCGCCAATTATGATGATGCTGTTACTTCTCACTGCTCATAATAGGACTTGGGACTGAATATGTGATGGATGCCTCTTCTTGGTCTTCATGACAATTCTGATACTCAGTGAGAATTTGAGATTTGCAAGACAGAGAGGGGATCTCTTATAACCTCAGAGATCTAGAATTTTCTCCTCAGTCCCCACAAAATTAAATCCTACTATTAGAGAACTATAGAGACCCTTCTTGGGTACCAACTGCAAGCCACTACTTGCTCATATATTCATCCAGAAAAAGATGATATCAAAGTTGACCTATCACGGACAGCTGGCTTCCTGAAGCATGTTGATTGAGAATGGCGGTAGCCATGTGAACGAAACAACGTGGCTTCAGACTTGCGGCTAATTTTGTCATCACTGGACAGCTCCACTCCAAGAAATAAAGCAAGTGTTCTGTGTGTTTGACCTTGAGGTACATTTTCTATGCACAGTGTAGAACGGAAGTACAAACCCACTGCCGACAGAGCACTAAGGCATCAGTAGTTTTGTGGCATGAAGACAGAACTTCATATCCACTGCTAAAGAGAAATATTTCCAAAAGTGATTTAGCCAAGAACGATATTCAAGTACCCTGACCCAAACTAGATTACATCCTGCTGCCAGGGCAGAAGATTTTTAGGTTTATTTATTTATTAGTCATTTTAAGGTCTAAAACTGAAAGGTCTACTAAGGAAAACAATTTGACTGTTTCTTACCTTTACTGGATAAGAAAAGGGTGGGGGATTTACAAGGGGATATATTGTCTACCACATGCAGGAAAAAAAAAAAAGGAAAAGGCTCAGACAATATTTCAAGTAAAGGAGGTGGGTTCCATTGGTAAGAACTACTTACTGTTCAGATTTGTTCTTCCTGTGGATGCGCTTCAGCAAGACTGAATGAAAGTGGACATTTAAGTCATTATGGAGAGGGCTGAGGAAATTTTGATGGAATAAGCTGCCTTTGGACCCGGAATCCAGATTTTCCCATATGTTGCTTGATAGTATATCGACACCGGCTAAAGAAACTCCTAACAGAAGCAGAAGTTTCAGGAACTCTTTCTCCGCCTCTTTACAAGCCCAGAGACAGGCAAGCTCATCCACGCTTTCATTGCAACCAAATAATAGACGTGAGCTTGTCAAAAAAAGCAAAGTCAGCAAATGGGAATGGACAACGCATACCTTGTATTGATGCCCTCACACGCCCTTGGCCCCCGGCCTGAATGACCAGTTTTGACAATTCTCTTGGTGTCATCTACATTGCAAGGTCTTTGTAGGTCATGGGAAGCTCTCACGAGGCGTTTTCACACTTCGGATCTGAATCACACTGCTCTACGTGTCACGTTAGAAACAGTCACTTAGGCGATTATCTTGGAATCCCCACGCAAGTGGGCAGGGAATGGTTCCACGGTTGCTAGGAAGACAACAGCATTCCTGGTGGTGATAGCTGCCGTTCCCGGAGTTCTCGCTGTCCCAGGCGCTACGCTAAGTACATCGTGCTGTTCTTCTCGTTAGACCTTCACAAGAAGCCTGTGGGTGGGTTAGGTATTCACTGGTATGCTTTCGGCTGCAACTGTGAGGACATTGGTTATATTCATAAGGAGTACAGAGGCCCTCACCTCTCCTTCTGGGGGCTTTATCCAAATACTGCACGCTCCCAGAGCACTTCTCAACCACTTTTCTCAGACTTTCTCACCCCTAGTGAATTCCTGTTTCAGTGGTTTTCTTTTCCTTCCCCCATTTCCTCTCTATTCTCCTCCTTTGTGCGTGGGTTGCTATTGCGACGGCCACTGCAAGAGTCTCAGGCCAGGGAGGCAGGGACCGGCTTCAGTCTTGCCCTGTGCTTTGTATGCCCCTGGAGATGCTTAGGGCATGATAGGTATTTGGAGAGTGAATGGTGGAGGGAATACCGTCTTCACTTCATCCTGTATTGGGGAACCTTTGGAACAAGGTTGCCCTTAGCCAAGCGTGCTGTGCACATTTGCAAAGTCTCCCTTATTCTGCAAAGCATGCCCCGAGTAATGGTTGGGCCTAGAAGCTGTTGGACGGGTAAGCTGGGGGACCTGAGTCTGTGAACTTGACTTCCAGCTCCTTCTTTGCTGTGTGGGCTGGGTAAGTTCCTGAGGTAGCACTACTTCATTTCGCCCTGGATAGTGAGGACCGTGCTACCCGCGTGAGCTGGGTATGCGTTGGCACCATCAGCCCAGAATGGAGCCTAACCCACAGGGCTTGCTCCATGGCTGTGGTATTATTACTGACTTAGTGCTTCTTACGTGGGTACTTTCATCCCTGCCACTTATTTCCTTTGTGACACAGAAGCAGGAACATTTAAAACATGTTCATTTTGTATTATCAGTGCTTACAGAATATGGGTCATACAGTTTATGTATTTGTGAGTGAAATTATTGGGTGGTTCCAGATCTGGGCCTATGCACTGATGGGTTACTACCTCTGCTTTTAAATCCAAAATTAAAGTCATGTATAATATGGCATAGTAATTCCTTTCTCTATGATTTGCCTTCATCCCTCACCTTCTGTGTTCCCTAAGAATGTCACATGACCAACTCAGCTTTTCCACTCACCCATCCAATACTTGACGTTTCAAATTATTTTTGTTTCTTAATTGCTAGTGAGGTTCCGGCCAACATCGATGCTTCCTTGCCCGAAGCCCGGGGGCTAGTATTTCTAGAGATACACTGTCCATTTTCTGTGGTTTTATAATTGATCTTTCTTGGCTTTCTATTGGAATATAGAAAGAGAAAAATTAGAATAGCGGGGGGAAGAAAAGAAAATTCTTTGGCCTTTTTTATGTTGCCTCTGGGGCCTATGTGTCAAAAAGATGAATCTGGGGTTTGATATGTTTGGCCTATGTCGAGGGCTTTCTCCTGGTCCACACTGGCTGCTTAGCCTTCAAGAGGTGGCGTAGGAAAACAAAATGTACAGTGTGGCTTGGCATTTAGAATAAGACCTTTGTGCTCTCAAAGCAGGCTAGCATGAAAGTGTAAAGCTGTTAAATTAATACACGGGTGATGTAAATGTTTACTAGTAGATGTGTTAAGACAAAGTAACACTGCATTTATAAAACTTACAACGGCATAAAAACACACATGCACATTCAGTGTGTCCTGTCTCTTGTGAGAGCTGTGAAAGAAGAAACATACATTCAGCTACATGCAGCGGAAGCGAGGGGTGTTTTCTGGGATTCTTGAGAGAACTGTCTCTGAACAGCGTGGATGTAATTTACAGCGTGACCCAAGCGCTCCATTTTCCGTGATTGTCCTTTATGTGAGTGCCTTCAGGATAGAAAAATAGTCTCGTATTTAAGGCCTCTTGTGTTATTCTTTTAGATTTTTTAGAAATATTTCTTTTCTGTAACAGATCTAGTTCCTTCTCATGGACTTTCCGTCCTTTTCAGACACTTTTTTAGTTTTTATATAGTATTATCTTAGCCTTGGTGGGAAGAAATAGGAAGAAAATGGAAAATGTGCTTTTACATTCAGAAAGATAGCTTCTTATTTCTCTGAAGAAATATAGGCAATGTGCTCTCTCTCTCTGTGTGTGTGTGTGTGTGTGTCTGTGTGTGTGTGTGTGTGTGTCTGTGTGTGTGTGTGTGGTTTTATTTTTTATTTTTTGGTTTGTTGGTTTGTTTTGCTTTTCTGAAGAGAAAATGAGTTGGTGTGAGAGTGTACAGTAATCCCAGCACTCTGGAGGCTGAGGCAGGAGGATCTCCACCAGTTCCAGATAAGCCAGAGGGAGATGCCGTCCCAAACTAGACAAAAAACAAAAACATGTCTCATTTCATTAAAAAGCATCCTATTTTGTGATCTTAGTATTTTTCTTCCTTGTCCCAGATACTCAGTTTTGAATCTTTATATGAAATATCGAGGTTTGGTTGGAACCAAACAGACATCTGGCCAACCCACGTTTCCCCAGGCTGTGCCCCCTCGCTCCACTCTGCAGCTCTGGTCTCCAGCAGGAAGATCCTTGCCAAGCACAAAGTGCAGCCTTTCCAAGCTGTTTAATGACACAAACGACCTTTCCAGATACAAGGCCAGAGCTTTGCAAGCTCCCCCAATGAGGAAACCCATCAGGGTCAGACCACTTCCTCTGCTTGCCTGATCATTCACAGAATGAGCCTGTCAGGATGGTTTGAAATGTAATGCTGACGTGACATGTGTGCTTTTTGGATTTCCCTCCCCCCCCCACACCCCCCAACCAAGTGATCCGTGCAAGACTTCATTCATGAGACCGCTCATTTCTGACCTCCTTTGGGTGAGACAGAAAGACCCTTCTGTTATTTATTCTATTTCTTTTTCTTTATCCTACTGGGGATGAGAATGGGGGAAAATTTAAACACTTAAAATTTAGTACTCCTTGGGGGTATTTAAAAAAAAAAACTCACAAAGATAAAAAAAAAAAAACCTCATTCATTTTCTATTTTCCCTTTGTGTAAAAGAACATTTTCTAACAATATTTACTTTTAAATGTCTAAAAAAAAAAAATAGAGTAGGAAGGGTCCCAGGATTGGAAACCATTCTGGGTCTGAACAGGAGACTCTCAGAGTGGGTAGTGCTGACTCAGCGTCAGCGTCTCTGAATGAATAGCCTAGCAAACATGAACGGCCTCCTGAACAGTTCATGTGTCTAACCCTCACGTCCTACAGTATCAGAGTTTCTGTCTGTTCTGAATATGTAACTATTCACCAAGACACCGATGAAACCAACCCATGATATTGCTTCTTCCAGCACTATCGCTAGTACCAACACATAGTTGCCTGGAGATGGGATTCATATACTCCTCATGACTTGCAGTAGGTCTTACTAAAATGCAGTTAAAACTCTAAGACATAGTGTGTTACGTGTATAGTTTTATTCTGGGTTGTATTGTTTTAAACAAGCAAAAATAGCTTGCCTCGATTTTGCAGTTTAAAAAAAAAGAGTTTAGGAATGGATTGCAATGAGCAGGAAGTAATGACCAAGGTTGCTGTGGTAGACTCCCTACAAGGGCGAATGTGTGCCCCAATACTGTCTCATGGGGAGTGGTGACATGAATGACCTTTTGAAATCCAGTGTCTCTAACCAGGGAATGTAATAATATAAATTAGCTTGATAAAAAGCCTATACTAAAATGCATACTTAAAAGTACAGGATTGGGGCTTGAGAGATGGCTTAGCAGTTTCAGAATGCCTGCTGCTGTTTCTGAGAACCCGAGTTCAGTTCCCAGCATCCAGGCCAGGCAGCTCACAAATGCCTGTAACTCCAGCTTCAGGAGATCGGATGCTCTCTTCTGGCCACTGTGAGTACCTGCATGCACACGGCATACACTCTGACAGACACGCATATGCATGAATTAAATTAAAAAAAAAATAGTTTTAAAAAGTATGTAATTTTTTAAGGCACAGCTTAACTTTTACAGGAACTGTCCTCCAAACCTTCCCCCAAACATCCCAATGATTTTAAATGATCACAGACCTCCTCCATTACTCCATGCCCCATATACCCAGTAATCATTCTTACTCTCTCATTGTGGTTTATTTTGCCAGTTTTCAGCAATCTATCAATGGACTTACATAATATATACTCATCTCTTGCTTCTTTTATTCATCAGTGCTATATATACACATTAATTTTATTATATGTATCAGCCTATTGATTTTCATTGCTACATGTATATTGCATGGAAACGCTGTAATTATGGTGCTGGTTGTTATTTGAGTTGTTGCAAGTATGGTCTCTGCAGTCATCATTTTTCTTGTGGATGTGACCAAATGCTTGACAAGACACAATTTAAAGGAGGAGGGGTTTATTACAGTTTACACTTCAAGGGGAAATGCCCATCATAGTGAAGAAGTCATCAGGGCATGAACTCAAGGCAGCTAGGCACATTGCATCTTCATTCGGGAAGCAGAGAATGATGAATTCTTGTGCTCAGCTGACTTTTTCCTTTTTCTCCAATCTAGAGCCCCAACCCATGGAATGTTACCACCTGCAATTAAGTTGGCTCTTCCCACTGTGGTTAGCCTAGTCTAGATAATCTGACACTGGATTGCCCAGAGGCTTGGCTCATAGGGGACCTAGAACCTCTCAAGTTGACAGTCAGTATTAACCATCACTCTTGTGACTAAATGCCCATTGGCTATCTGGGAACATGTCTTTTAGTGGACATAACCATTCATTCCTGTTAGATATTACCCAGAAGTGTATAAGTATAAAGATAGGTGCACTTACCTCTTATAGATATATCCCTCCAGTTTTTGAGAATGCCAGTTTGCACATGTGCCAGCGAAGAGTACAAGTTACAGATCCACATCTTATCAG